TTGTTGTTGTTTTTGTTGTTGTTTTTGTTGTTGTTGTTGTTGTTGTTGTTGTTGTTGTTGTTGTTGTTGTTGTTGTTGTTGTTGTTGTTGTTGTTGTTGTTGTTGTTGTTGTTGTTGTTGTTGTTGTTGTTGTTGTTGGTTGTTTTGGTTGTTGTTGTTGTTGTTGTTGTTGTTGTTGTTGTTGTTGTTGTTGTTGTTGTTGTTGCTGTTGTTGTTGTTGTTGTTGTTGTTGTTGTTGTTGTTGTTGTTGTTGTTGTTGTTGTTGGTTGTTGTTGTTGGTTGTTGTTGTTGTTGTTTGTTGTTGTTGTTGTTGTTGTTGTTGTTGTTGTTGTTGTTGTTGTTGTTGTTGTTGTTGTTGTTGTTGGTTGAGCCGTAGACTGCGTACCCGTCTAATTTCTTTAAAAAAGAAAGAGCCCGCCCCCCGAAGGGGGGCGGGCCGCGAATTACGGGACGGGTCTTTTTTTACAGCCGAAAATACCTGGCGGCCTTGGTTTCAATGCCTGGCCTATACAAACCGTGAGCTTCACAGAGGCTTTGGGAGGTATCCCGTAATTGCTTGGCTAAGGCTTTACAGAGGCTCTGGGAGGGCTTTGGGAGGTATCCCGTCATTGCTTCGCTAAGGCTTCACAGAGGCTTTGGGAGGCTTGGCTAAGGCTTTACAAAGGCTTTGGGAGGGCTTTGGGAGGTATCCCGTAATTGCTTGGCAATGCTTCACAGAGGCTTTGGGAAAGCTTTGGGAGGTATCCCGTATTAGCTTGGCTAAGCTTCACAGTGGCTTTGGGGGGTGGCTAAGGCTTTACAGAGGTTTTGGGAGGTATCCCGTAATTGATGGGCCAAGCCTTTGGAGAGGCCTTGGGAGGTATCCTGCAATTCAAGCTTTACAGAGGCTTGACGGGCTAAGCCTCTATACAGAACCCTATAGCTCTAAACCTTCAACCCTCAAGTCTCAAGCCTGAGCCCGTAAGCATAAAGCCTCAAGCCTAAAGCCCAAAGCCCTCAAACCTTGGACTAACACCCCATAATGGAACCCTATGCAGGCATTTTGAGGTTTCATTAGCCGAGTGGCATAAGGCGCAGCTCTTATAACCGGAAGGTCGGTGGTTCAAACCCCCCTGCTGATATTTTCTTGCTTAACTGGTTTTGAGAGCCTCCTTGGAATTGACGGGCTAAGGCTTTACAGATGGGGGGGTGTCCCGTCATTGACTGGCTAAGGCTTTGGGAGGGCTTTGGAGGTATCCCGTAATTGCTTGGCGAAGGCTTCACAGAGGCTTTGGGAGGGCTGTGGGAGGTATCCCGTAATTGCTTGGCTAAGGCTTTACAGAGGCTTTGGGAAGGCTTTGGGAGGTATCCCGTAATTGCTTGGCCAGGCTTCACAGAGGCTTTGGGAAAGCTTTGGGAGGTATCCCGTAATTGCTTCGCTAAGGCTCCACAGAGGCTTTGGGAGGCTTGGCTAAGGCTTTACAGAGGCTTTGGGAGGGCTTTGGGAGGTATCCCGTAATTGCTTGGCAATGCTTCACAGAGGCTTTGGGAAAGCTTTGGGAGGTATCCCGTATTAGCTTGGCTAAGCTTCACAGAGGCTTTGGGGGGTGGCTAAGGCTTTACAGAGGTTTTGGGAGGTATCCCGTAATTGATGGGCCAAGCCTTTGGAGAGGCCTTGGGAGGTATCCTGCAATTCAAACTTTACAGAGGCTTGACGGGCTCCCAAAGCTTCTGTAAAGCCCTAGACCTTTAACCCTAAACCCTAAACCCTAAACCCTATACCCTATACCCTATACCCTATACCCTATACCCTATACCTGGCCCGTCAATTACGGGATACCTCCCAAAGCCTCTGTAAAGCCCTACACCTTAAACCCTAAACCCTAAACCTTAAACCCTAAACCCTAAACCCTCAACCCTAAGCCCTAAACCCTATACCTGGCCCGTCAATTACGGGATACCTCCCAAAGCCTCCTAGACCTTGAGCCCTAAACCCTAAACCCTATACCTGGCCCCTCAATTACGGGATACCTCCCAAAGCCTCCCTCTCCAGAGGTTCCAAAAACCTCCCCAAAGGCTTGGCCCGTGAATTACGGGATACCTCCCAAAGCCTCTCCAAAGGCTTGGCCCGTGAATTACGGGATACCTCCCAAAGCCTCTCCAAAGGCTTGGCCCGTGAATTACGGGATACCTCTCAAGGGGCAATTGGTTTTGGTTTTGGTTGGGGGGGGGGGGGGGTACGGGTACGCAGTGTGCGGCTGAACCCCTAGGCAGTGCCGTCGACTGAGAACCCGTTGAAGAAATTAGACGGGTACGCAGTATACGGGTGAACCTTGTT